AGTTCGCTGAGACTCAGCTATTACAAAGGCAAATGCCCAGTGTCTGTACATTTAGTTAGGTTGTAGATGATTACCTCAGGACTCCATGCACAGGGCCATTCTCAGACTATACTTAGCTTGACCTAATGTACCAGAAATACCAGACAGCATGATGAAAGCTAAAAGATGCCATAGGGGTAGAGAAGGCAGTGCTTAAAAAAGGATGGCCAGGGAATGCCTGGTTAGAGACATTACATCTGAACAGAAAACTGAGTGATAAGGCAGACTTGCAAATGCCACTGCAACCACACTTACATAATTTTTATCCTGTCTCTTAAATTACATGGGAATTTCCAAGCCCAGTGACTTCTATATTTTTACATTTTCCCATAGCAACCAGTGTGGCACTCTCCACAAGCAAGAACTCAGTGACTCACACATAGACTCAGAAGCATCTCAGCCTTTAAGATGTACATAGCTTTAAAGACTCAGCCACCAAAGGACCCAAGTTACCTGCCTCCTAAGTAAAAGAAAAATGCAGTGAAACACATGAGATCATTTGATATCAGCCCAAGCTTAGACTTTCTATTTACCTCTAGTTGCTTATTAGAATTAGATTCTTTATCAGAAAATCTTCAAAATACACTTAGATCTGTTTCTGAGTGTGACTCCACCTTACTAAGATCAGGCACTGAGTTCTGAGTACCAACTGCAGCTGGCTCATCATCCTGCGATGGAATTTCTCTGTCGTATTCAACTTCCTTGCAACTTCTTACCAATGTCCCTGTGTGCCTTAAACCTGTATTTCTTTAAGGTATCTTCTGAATTCTGTAGATGGGTCCTGAATCCTTTAGAGTCTCTGAACGCAAAAGCAGTCTTCAGCACACTAGGAAATCCTTACAAAATTTAGTGAAACAAGTTCATACATTTCTGGAAGGTTCATTGTATTTTCAGTTTGGGACTCACATCACTTTCAGGGAGGTTTTCCATTTCTTGCAGGAATGCTCCTTTCTGTGGATGCTTTCCTTGGACCTAGAATCACACAATCCATACTGAAAGGCTGATACAAAAGGCAACACCTTTTGGTAGTAAAACTCTTGAACAAGGAAAATCTAGACCAATGTTAATACCAACTCAACAGCTGACTCACTTTTACCTGGGCAAGTTTTGGAACACCTTTGAGACTTACATCCTTGTTTATATATGACACAATATTTTTTTCTCTGATGGTGCTCATGACTGTCATAAAGATCACATGACTCCTCCCTTCCCCCCTTTCTGGTACTGAGGGGATGGGACCCAGAGTCTCAAGCATTCTGGGTAAGCATTGTATTAAGTTTACATCTCCAGAACTGAGAGTACTTTAAAGCCTACTAATTGCTATGACATTACAGCATACAGTAAAAGTAATTCATCATATTCTTATGCCTGGCATAAGGATCTACATTTCTTCGGCCTTTGTGCTAAGTATCTTCATTTCTGCCCAAAACTTTAGATGTAAGATTCTGGGGGAACTACCCGCTCGGGCCCCCCTCCCGTCCCTCTCTTGGACAGAAGCTTTCTTTCTTTCAATAAATATATTCTGCTCATAACCTCCCATTTGTTCCTAAAATTCATTCTTCGGTTTTAGAGAACACGAACTCATGCTGGCCAGGTCAGGAGATTGTTTTTCTCTATGTCATTTGGAGGTTCCTTGTATGGTTTGGAGGTCACCCGCCCAAGACCAGTTTTTCTTCCCTGTATCATTTTGGAGGTTTCCACCGAGATCACTGGATGGAGGAGCATCCACCTGCTCTGGAGAGGGCTACTCAGGGACGCCTGGGTGGAGGAATCAATTAGAAAAAAGACTCAAAGCTATACATCTACCCAAGAGAAAACTGCCTGTCATCTATCGAGGGCCTTTAGCTAAAACCTCTGAAAAATATATCTGACTGCCAGTCAACAACGACGACCCATTTCAGCGTGAAGAAGCCAAAGCGGTCTTCGCCCATATTTCCCTTCACGGCAGTTCAGGTTACTTCTTCAGAGGGGGGAATATTGCAAGCAGCCGAGTTAGATAAAAATATTATAGGCAGTCAGACAGGGCCAGGCCTAAGGAGACAGCACAGAAGATGAGATGCCTTACAACTGTGGGAGGGGCGGATGCTCCTGCTGTGAGCCAAACCTAAAGACCTAAAGACCAAATGCTAAAAGAGTAGCACCTGGGATTGATATTCTAAATAGGTATCAATCACCTGGAAAGACCCAAGTGAGTCACTAGCCCAACCCCCAACAGAAAGAGACCCTGTCCCACATTCTAACCCCCAACAGGAATAGACCCTGTCCCATATGTAATCCCATTGGTTGACCATAGTTTTGTCCCACCTCCTGCACCTAAGTGAGTTCCCATTCTCTCTACCTTAGCCTCACATGGTTTTACACTATAAAAGTCCCTGGAAGAGACCACTTCCCGGGGAACTACCTGTTCGGGCCCCCCTCTTGTCCCTCTCTTGGACAGGAGCTTTCTTTCTCTCAATAAATATATTCTGCTCATTAAAAAAAAAAAAAAAAGATTCTGCCAGACACACATACCTCTTCCCTGCCCCAAATGTAGTTTTCATAAACCTTCATTATTATTTTCTTTTTTTAATGTATTAAGACTTTATTTTCGGGCCCAGGAGATGGCTCAGTGGAATATGCGCTTCCCTGGCAAGCACAAGGGCCTGAGTTCAATCCCAGGTTCCACCAAAAAAAAAAAAAAAAAAAGACTTTATTTTCATAACTTTATTAGTACATGTTTGCAATTCATGCAAGTTATAATCCTCTTGGGAGTGGTTACTTGTGCACACTACAATTTCTTTTCTCTTCCCCCTTCCCTCGTCCTCCCCAACAGTTCCCCATCCCTTTTGCATACTTGTTGATGTCACCACACAGTGTTTATTGCACAGCAATCTTCATTCTTATTTCTCTTTCCCTCCCCCTCATTCCTTACCCTTGTTCCCTTGGGCCACTTCCCTATTGCAGGAGAGATGTCCCCTGGTCCCTTTCTACCTCTGCTCCCTCTTATCATTTTGTTTGTACTTTGCCTCACTCAGATGAGAGATACCATATGGTATTTAAGCTTGTATTCCTGGTTTATCTCACCATTATACTTTCCATGTGTAACCATTTTCCCACAAAGTTTTCAGAGGTGTTATTCATTCTTTATAGCCAAGTAGTACCCCATGACATATCAATACATTTTCCTCATCTAATCATTTGTTGATGAGTATAAAAGCTGCTTCCAGGATTTAGTTATTATGAATTGTGGCGCTATAAGCATTGGTATGCATGTATTACTGCAGTGTAACAACTTGAACTCTTTGAGGAAGATACCTATGGAATTTCTATTTTCAGTTCTGAGGCATCGCCAAGCATGGACATACTGGTTTACATTCCCACCCACAGTGAAGGAGGGCTTCTTTGTCACCTTATCCATGTCAACATTTATTGATTTCCTAATGATTTCCATTCTTTTCTTTTTTTGCTCCGAATGCCTTCAGGGCAGGTTTGGCTGGCTTGAGTTGTGGGGATCGAACCACAGCAACCTGAGCCTGACTGCTTGGTTGAAGCAGCCACTTAAAGAACTGAGCTAAGGGGCAGGCCCCCATGATTTCCATTCTTTCCAGAGTAAGATGGGATCTTAGCCTTGTTTTAATTTGCATTGTGCTAATAAACCTTCATTTCTTATCTTTGCTTTTCTTTTCGTTCAAGGATGTGCCTGGATCACTCTGCCCTAAGAGTGAATGTCTCTGCTGGTATCCTCAGGAATTGTCCCGATGGCTGAGCTTCTGGAGCACAGCTGCCACTTGGCCCATGGACTGACCTGTGGCCCAGGCTGTTGGCTCTTAGCATCTCCTGATTTAGTCATCTAGTCCAGTATAAGTGATACCTCCGTAACTAGAGTTTCTTTGAAGGCGGGGCTGTAATTTACACCTCTGCAGCCTCAGCTCAAGGCAATGTATTTTCATTAACAGTGAATTTAGGGGACATACCAGGTTAGTAGTCTACCAGAAGCTCATACCTATCTAGAACCTGCGAATATGACTTCATTTGGAAATAGGGTCTTTGCAGATAAAAACAGCTAAGATGAGGTCACCCTGGATAACGATGGGCCTACATCCAATACCTGGTATCCTTGAAGAAAAGGGAAATTTGGAGACAGAAGAAATGGGACAGTGACCTTGTTAGGCAGAAACAGAATGGAGGCCACCAGGAAGAGGCAGAAAATGGTTCTCCATTGCATCCTTCCAAGGAACCACAGCCCTGCCAACTCATGTGAAGTCACCAGTTCAGTCACCTAATCAGCAGTCCAGGAACTGATTAGGAATGCAGGCATGCAACAGCCTACTGGGAATGGCCCTTCTCCAGGCACTACTCAACCTTGGCAACTGGCTTGCAGACCTGGCAGCTGGGCGCAGCAAGATCTTAAGGGACGAGGGTGATAACTGAAGGGAATGAATGGTGAAGAGGGGAAGAGCTGGGTTTCGTTTGAGTATAAAACAATTCAAAACAAAATTTACAAACCTTGGACTGAAGATCTTTGTAAGGTTCCCATCACAGAAATGGTTTGCTTCAGAACAAAGTGGCTGGTCTGAGAGTAGGAGGGAGAGGGCCACACAAGTGAATGGATGTCACTTAATGGCATGATACGCTGTATTCAAAATGACAGTGGACCGGCCAAATAGTTCAGTGGATTAAAGCACCTGCAAGCAGGGGCAGGGATGGGGGTTCAATCCTCAGGCCTGCCGTGCTGGCCCGGCCCCCGGGGCGTGCTGAGACAGCAACTGAGACTGGGCCTGTTGGCGAGCCTGTAACCCCAGCTCTTGGGAGGGTGTAAACAGGTGGATCACTACGAGTCTGATCTAGTAGTGAGACCCTAAACACCCTGTAGACCCCTAAAAATACAAAACAAACAAACAAATAAACATGACACTGGCAGGGTCAAGCATGCATTTCCTAGGTAGCCTGCCTAAGATAAATGGAGGCTCTGCGGGGGGGGGGGGTATGATAAGCATCAACTCTGAATTTCAGACCAAGGCCTGAGTTCCCTTCATTGGACACCAGGGTCTGAGTTCTGGCTCTGCAACATACTGGTCCCTTCCTACCTACCCCTATTTGCAAAATCAGATTAACAATAGCACCCCCACCAAGGTTGCTGGAAAGCAAGGCATTAGCACAAATGGTTTAGACCCACGAGGTGGAGGGGCCACAGGACTCTTAGTTCTTTGGCTGGAGACCTGGAGAAGTAACTTTACTGACTCCTCCCGAGAGCAGAGGCCCTACTTGAAGGAGAAAGATGAGAGCGACGCTGGCTGTTGGCTTCAAAATTAAGTCAGTAAGTGGCTAGACCATCTGCAACCAAGCAGAGCAGGGTAGTCCCTTAAACAGGCAGGGCCAGCTGAGGGTCCCGACGAATGTGGGCCAGCCCCAGGGACCTGGAGAAAAGAACAGACTGGTCTCGCGAGGATGCCTCTTAGGATGTGCCTGGTTCTACCCGGCTCTCCATGGCTCGGCTGGCGTCTCGCTGTCCCTCGGTACCCAAGGACGGATGGAGTAAGTAATTAAGCAGAGGACTAACTTGACCGATGAGTCCCGGGAGTCCCTGGAGATTCCCGGCGTCGCAGAGGCAGCGCTCCCCACCCTAAAAGGCAGCCCCTTCCCTCGAGACCTGAGGTGGGCAACCCGGAGACCACGCCCGCTGCAGGGAGAGAGGAAGCCCAGGTGGCTGGTAAGCTTCGGCTGAAAAGCAACTTTGTACCCTGCGCCTTGGGCGAGAGGCTCCACCTTCCCACGCGGCGGCTGACTCTCCGCCAGGCTGCGCAGTCCGGGTGTCGCCCTGGAAGCCTGCGGTGCCCGAGCCGCGCAGCCCGGCACTCGGGGCTCAGCCGAGAGCCGCAGAGGTGAGCGCAGGGGATCCTGGTGGCGTGGGGCGCTCGGGCAGCGGGGACCCGGGGTTCGGCCCGGCGAGCGCGGGCGCGCAACTCGTGCCGGGCGCGGCGGGACGGTGCGGGCGGGAGCTCCACCTCCCACGTCACGGAGACTCCGGGGCAGAGGCGACCGCTCCGCTTCGGCAGCGCGGGGCAAGGAAGGCGCGAGCGGGCCGGGCGCAGCCGCCGAGACCCCGCCGTCGCCTCCGTAAGTGCCGGCGGCCGCGCGGGCGGGGAGCAGCACCCGGCCGGGGTCCGCCTGTCCGGGCTCCGGGACCCCCACCTCCACCCTCCCCGCCCGCACCCTGCGCCCTTTGCGTCCCTCTCGGGCTGTGCCCGGCCCTCGCGCCGTGCCTGACCCGGCTTCGCGCCCGCAGAACCTGAGGCCCGGGCCCCGCGGCGCCGCAACTTCAACGCGGGAAGTTCCGAGGCCAGCTCGGCGGGAGCAGTTCTAGCTGGTGGGACCCCGGGGGGCAGGGGCGACGCGGGCGCCCGAACGAGGCTCTTTCCTCGCCGTGGCAGGGCCGAGGAGAGCACCCGCAGGAACGGACTCTGCGCTTAAGGTCAAGTTTTCCTGCGGCAGAGCCCGCCTGACCTCGCCTCCCAGCGGCGGGGGCCGCTCGGGTCCAGTGCGTGGCGAACGGGCGCGTGGGGGTGGGCTGCAGTGTAAGTGGACGAGCTCGCTTTCCGGGGAGGGGCGGCCTGGAAAAGGTGTGCACAGTTTATAGTTAGCCCGAGGGGACCAGAAGAGATGTTAGCCCCGGGGCGCCCGCAGCCCTTTCTAATTCTTAGATTGGAAAAGAACGAACCAGAAGTTTAAGGGGGAGCCGGAAGCTTAAGGGGACTGGGGGTCACTACAGTTGGTGTAGACCGCTCTTTCTCATCTTACACTCAGAAAACAAGCCCTTGTTATTAAATCACCACTCAAGCTAGGACGTTCTAGAAACTGACAGCCCATTTTGGCAGCTTCTGTTGCGTGTCTTGAGGAAGTAAGATCTTTTAAAAGTGAATTATTGCAGAGAGCTGTTCTTTTTCTTTTTAAGAGCTGTTCTTATAGTGCACTTTCTGTGCATGCAGTTCTGTGAGAAAAGACCAATTAAGCTGTTGAATTGTCTTTTCCTTGCAGTAGGGGGGTAACAGGGCACTGAATCCCCCAATACCACCCCTATACTGGACTGGGGTAGTAATACCTTTCCTTTTGGGAGGACGTTTATAGTCATTCGGTAAAAGCCACATCTGCCCAGAGGCATGCAGGGATCAGCAGCAGAGTTGGTGCTGAATGATACAGCACCCAATGCTTTCGGGGTAGGCAGTCCCCAAAGTGACTCCGGAAGACCTTTGACCTGTGTGTGTGTGTGTGTGTGTGTGTGTGTGTGTGTGTGTCAGTGTGAGTCAGTGCTGTCTCTCACCCCACCTCATGGAGTCACCGCTGTGGGAGACCTCGTGAGCTGGGGCTTATCCTAGCATTCCAGGTTAAGTGGAGGAGCGCAGGGAGAGCTCATGGGAGGAGAGGGCCAGGGCGGTCTGAGGAGCGTGGGGATACATTCACAAGCAGGGCCAGCAGTGGCCAGGGACAGATGGTGCCAGACAGGGACCAGAGGCACATCGTGTGGATAGATCCTCAGGATAGTTTCATCTCACAAAGTATCAGATTGGGATGAAATGTGAATTCAAAACCTCCCTCCACCCTCTACCTGGGGATTGAATTTGAGGATCTCCAGAAGAAAGAGGGTAGGGGCAGAGGGCCCAAAAGAGAGACTGTACTGATGGCAAGGGGAACACCTAGGAAGAGTAGAGGCTGGCTTTGAAGTGACGAGGAGACTATTTGTGGAGAGTGAGTGTTCCCAGCGATGTCCTCTGTTTGTGCTGCTATTTACAGAAAGGAGAGCTCTGGGGGAGGAGCAAGTTTCAGGAGGAGAGACAAGCTTGGTGTTGTTGGGTCTAAGCAGCTTTCAGGGCTCCAGTGGAAACCCTTCCCAGGTGGCCAGGTGGGGTGGGCTGGTAGCCGGTGCCATCTGAGTTAGGAGTGGAGGGAGGAGGCAAAAATGCCCCTGGCAGAGGACTGGTCGCTGCCCACCTAGGTCAAGCCAGGTGGTCCTTTTTAGGTGAGGTGAGCCTACCCATACCCATATTTAAATGTGAATGGGGTGGCAAAGATGGGAGGAGAAGTTACACAATGCAGATTCCTGGAGCCCCCTCCCTTGGAGTATCAGTTAAAAAAACAATTTTCGATCATATTTTGATACCAGACTCATGTAGCAGGCTGTCAGTGTCTTACAGGAACAATATTTTGAAGCATGTATGACTGTGCAGTTTTGAGTTTTAACTTGGTAGACCACACAAATGTAATGTTTAGGGGAAGCACAGATGGTAAATTGCACAGCAGAGTTTCTGCATGTAGAGAAGGGCCCCGGGGGCGAGACGGCCCTGGTCCTGGGTCTTGGCCCTGTCATAGCTGTACGTATCTTCTGACACAAGTTTTCTGGCCTGTTTTAGTTTCTAGCTCTTTGAAATGGCACTGCACCTGAGGGGTAGGTGCTCACCACCTCCTCCTGGGCAGTGGTAAGGATTACACATATAAGGTGGTTGAAATAGATGACAAATGTTAAGAAATTTTAAAAGTGTATTACAGTAAGACACATTGTCAATAAACTCCCTCAAAATAGTCATGCTAAGTTCAAACACACTCATCCCATCATCTGCTGCTTTCTGAAGCAGTTCTGGAAGCCCTCTTTCATGAGTGTCTGTACAAGGTGTGATCTAGGGGGAAGGGCAAGCTTGTAAAATCACTCCATACTCACCAGATCTGGCCCCAGAGTCAAATTGACCAGGAAAGGTGAAAGTTTTGAGTGGATTCAGGACATTGAGGCAGTTACCACAATGCAACTGAAGACATTCATGAAAGAGAGCTTTGAGAACAATGGGGTCAGTGTGTTCAAAACAAGGAGGTGTATTTGTAAAGGTTTATATAAATAGCAGTGTGTCTGATAGTGTAATTTAAAAATATGCATCAATTACCTTACTTGTTGATCATGCCTCAGTTGCATTGCGCATCTGCAGTGTGTTCATCCACTGTGCTGTCCTTTCCCTGGTGTCCTCCAGTCACAGCATCTGGTCCCTGGAGAATTCTGAGACCAATTCAAGGCCATCAAGCTAGAGTAGCAGGCGCAGGCCAGGCTCCCTCTCACCAGACTCCCAGGCAACGGCTACTTCCACCTCATGTGTTAATTAGCAAGTGCCAGTTGCTGAGTGCCTCACAAGATCAGCTTTATTGAGGGGTGGAGTGTCTGTTTGCCCGAGCGTAGTGAAATGAAGCAGGTAGCATCAGCCTCAGCGCTACCAGATTTTACCCCAGCACTTTCAAGATGTATGTTGGTGTTCATTTGCATTGCTTTGCATGTCATTTTATATGCATTCCCATATGGTGGTGATTTTCCTAGTAGGAGATGAGGGCTGAAGATTCAAGTATAGGAGAGAAAATAAAATCAATTGAGTTGAGTGTGAGTGTGGGGATGTTGGGCTTACTGTGGGCTTTGGGGGTAAAGGATCCTTAGTTACCATTTTGAAAGGGACTGAGGAACCTGATAGCATTTGATTGAACCAGGTCATATCTTAATATGTTGTTGTAGTCAGGGTTTGCAAGGGAATAGATTTAATACAGGACACATTTATAGAATTATTTTATAATGTTCACCCAAAAAAGTGAAATGCAGAAGAGTACAAGCAATCTGTCCACACAGTAGAGATCCAGCTGAGGGCCTGGATCCCATGATAATGTCCTGCATGAGTCCATCTGGAGGCCCAGAGCCCACGACAGTGTCTCATGCCAAGTCTGTCTTAAGGATCTGCATTGGGAAGGCCCAAAGGCCAGCGATGGAAGCTAGAAAGTCTGTGCTGGTAGGGTGAAGGATCTGTGCCAGCAGGCTGAGGGATCTGCCCTGGAGCTGGGAAGCAACGCTCAAGGTAAGGACCCGGGCTCCCTGGAAGAGCACCACAGTCGACCTCAGCTCCAGCGAGGAGGAGCCGCTCCTCCGACAATGAGAACAGCCTCCTCAGAAAATCGTGAGACTAACCAAGCGCATCAGGAAAACCAACCAAATACACTTCTCCAGGAGAACCAAGAGCTCACCGTCTTCCCCTCCCATTCTCCTTTTATGCTGTTAGTGGCTGTCCCTGGGTGGGTCTTCCACACTTATCCATTAGTTAGTGCACCACATATGTCATGAGGCTCGATGTGCTGAATAGAAAATACTGAGAAAGAGGAAAAACAGACTAGAGGGAAACATAAAGGGTCAGAGAATGAAGCAATAATAGAAACAAGAGTCTGCTTTAGGAAGCTGAACTAACAAGAAATGATGAGGGTCAGAATGTAAAGGTTGAATTTCTATTAAGCAGTATGAAATTTTAGAACAACCTTAAGTACAAATGAGTGTAAGCCTTTTTAAAACCAATAAATTCTGCATAATTCAGATTTAGGAAATTTGCCATTGTTTCTTATAAAAATCTTAGGAATGCAGAGTATCAAAAAAAACCCATAAATCTGTTATCTAGAGCACGCAACATGGTCTCTGGGCCAACTGTATCGGTTTCACCTGAGATTTCTCAGAAATGCAGATTCTGGTTGGGTGTGGTTTAATTCCAGCTCCCTGGAAAGCTGAGGCAGGAGAATCACAAGTTCAAACCCAGCTTAAGGTAATATAGTGGCTTAGCAAAATAAAATGTGCCCAAAAAATGTACCAAGATAAAGAAAAGGCTGGGCGCACACTGGTAATCCCAGCACTCAGGAGGCTGAGGCAGGCGGATTGCTGTGAGTTTGAGACCAGCCTTGGCTAATAGTTCAAGACCAGCTTGAATACATAGTCCACCATCACACCACCCATTGTCCACAGATGCTGCTGCAAAGCTGTGTTCCTCCATCGTCCATAAGTGAGTGAGGTTCTTGGGCCTAAGTGGGTGTTTTGGCATTTATCTTT